GAATGAAACTATTAACCCTCCATAAATTAAAAAACCAAAGTTCGCGGCAGTAAAAATGAAGTTTCCCGCCACAATCCATTTCCCATTTTCATCGTCATTGGCGCCAAACTTTTCTTCGTTAGGGTGATGTTTCTTTTTGACCAATTGGGTTTTGGGCTGGGGTTGTTGTTACTCATTTAGGTTAAGGGGAAAGAAAAGTGGAGATTTTCATCGATTTTTCTCTCTCTTTTTTGTTCTGACTTTTGGATTGCTGGGTTTGTTTCTTTTGTGTGAAGGGCTTTTTCTTATCTTTTTGTTGTCCTAGTGTTAAGAGAGGAAGGGAAAGAACAAGTGTAGGGGAAGGACTGAGGCGGCTGCACACAAAAAGGAAATGTAGCCCGCAGCCTAATATAAATTTAGTGTCACTAGCTGTAGTACGATGATATATATATATATATATATATATTTGGGAAGTGTATTGTTGTAACTTTATATATAATTGAATTGGAATTTTATATTTGGTTTGTTTCTCTTATGCTTTACTGCAATGTATTATCATTTATCATCTCTTTTTATTAAGTTTTTTGTCGAGTTTTTTTGATTCACTGATCGGATTATAATATAAGAAAAAAAATGTTTCTATGTATATCGTTTAAATTTAAATTCGGGTACGGTGAATTAAATATTTAATTCAAAATTTTGAAATTATAATTCTAAACAACTTTTATGTACTAAGTTTATGACAATTGGAAAAAACAATTTAGTGATAAGTTTACATATATTCCAATACTCAAACTTGGTTGGAAAAAGAGAGACTTTCAATTACGCTTTGATGTTTTGCATACTTTCTTTGAATGCATCTAAAATATAATTGAGAGTTCAATGTTAAGAGCTAGTCATCCTCATGTTTACTGAAAGTGGAACATAGTAGTAAGAGCTAGTGACTTAAAAAGTATTGAGTTTCCATGACTTAAATAGACTGATACAATAGAAAAAGGAAAAACCCAATGCTTACAAATGGCCGGATTGTTGGTTTCTTGCAGGTGAAAGTATAGATGGGAAACACACAAACAAACAAAAAAAAAAATTCCTACTTCTGAATGGTCTGAGGATGCTACAGAAGAGATGTCCTGGAGCAGGATACCATAGGTTTTTTCACAAAACCATGTACTTGGGAATGGGAATGAAAAGATTATTTTGGATAGATATGCATAGGGGTACTGTTAGAAAGCACTGATGTTCCTCTGCTCAACCCCTGCCACTTTAGTGGGGAAATTTCCTGAAAGTTTCTAAAAGCAAGTGCATCAAAGCACCATGTGACTTCATTTTGCATCAACATCTAAAACTTTGTGTTTTTTTTCTTTGGGGGGGCCTTTGCCCTCTCTTGTTTGAAATTTTTCATATACTCTCAGCTTGCACACACCGAAAATTTCAAAGAACCAAAACAAGTCATTTTCTTGTCATTCCATTCCACGACATTTTAATTAACTTACCAGCAAACATTGCTCAATTTGAAGATGGGGTTAAGTAGATTTCTACGATTTTTCTCTCTGTTGTATAATCCAGTATCACTCGTTTTATCGGAATCTAAAAATACCCGTTAAAAAGAAAACAAAATTTTCGGCCAGCTGGGACTTTGTGGCATTTGGTGAACCGTTTCACGCACATAAAACCAACTCAACGTTCAATCTAACAACAGTGGAGGAGTTGGAATACTAGGATTTTTTTTTTGGACTTACTCAAACGAAAGCCAAAAAAGAAAAATCCTTTCGTTCTTTCAAGCAAGGAAAGTTACAAGAAACATTAAATTTATTTCTTTTGGATAACAAAATCTTTCCCCTTCATTTCCGTGAGTCCACATTTCGGGAGGTCACATCAGAGAGAAGGTCCAACGCATTTGCCTAATTTGCTCGAACCGAACTTGTTGCACATGGGGTGTGGGCCTTTGGGGTAGGGTTCTGTTGGTTAAATGCTCTGTGGTCTGTACACATGTGGGTTGGAAGAAGTTGTTCTTTCTCTCTTGTGCTGCCACTTTCATCTCTTTTTGTTGGTTTTAGGGGCAGAAAGATCTTTGGATTCCTATTACCTCACAAAGGGCTAAAAAGGAGGGACGCAGAACAAGGGCTTTGGATTCCTTAGGCTTGGTTTGGCCATGGCTAGTGGGCTCCCTTTAGTTAAAATTCCTTTCACATTTGGGAGAGAGATTAATGATAACTCTTCCTTTCAATGATTTTTGTTATGATATGGTAACATGGGCATTGAATTAAGATTAAAGCCTAATGATAGAGTATCTAATTTAAATAATGTGTGTGCGTGTGCGTGTGTATACATAATTCTGCATATAAAGCCTGATTTAAATCTTCTTACAATTGTTTGAGATTAAAGCTACGCAGCAAACTTTAGATTTTGATTTATTCTTTCAGTTTAATGGAGGGCTATACTAACCTTCTTAATCATAGGTTATCATAAGTTGGAATCGAGTAGATATTGAATCGACCATTTTCACAATAAAGTACCAAGAAGAGGAACAGAGCAACCACAAACTGACTTATTGGGCCACACTCATTTTTAGCCCATGTAGAAAAATTGGACACCCTGACTCTCCAGCCCCGCTAATTGTAAGCAAACGTTAGGCCACGAATGAAATATAGACCCCCATTAACCCAGAAAGCTTTTGCATGGTCTCAACATAACCAATGTAAGTCCTTGTTGTCCACAAGATATCTCAGAGCCCATTTGTTTTTTTAAATGCAGTTGGATCAGCCTAAATTTGATTACCGAGAAATTGTAGAAGAAACAAAACGTAAGCACATTCAGTCACACTATGTTTTTTCATTCAAAACTTGTTAAAAGTACCTTCTGCATCTCTTTCGCTTCTGCTGTTTCCACTGCTTCAGTAAATGCTCCACTAACTCCGCCAATGTTGCCATCCTCCCTTCATTGAAATTCCACAGTGCCGGGGCTGTGTAACTACCACTCGTTTTGTGCTCATTCATCTGTGCAAAAGCTCTGGTCACGGAAGTGTATACTTCATCACCAAACTCAGTCTTGAGGGTAGTCAATTTTTCATCTTCCTCGTCAAGAATTTCCTGTACAATCACATTTAACATGAAGAGTTTGGTCAATTGAGCAAGAACTGGAACGAGACAGATAATGGACTGAACATTGAAAGGCAAGAGCCAAGGTTCTGAAACAACAAAGTCAGTGGTCCCTTGGATGAACTGACAATCTCTATGTAGTCAAACCTTGAAGAACTTTGAGAACAAGATGAGCAGATAAAGATAGGCAAGCAACATTGCTTATAGAGGAATTTTGAGACAATTAGAAAGCATGTGTGCACAAACAGAAAAGATTTGGCTAATATAAGACAAATACCTTAGTGTTTCCTTCCTTGTCTGTGATTATCTTAAAAGGATGCCAGCTAGGATCCCAAAGATACTCCTGCCACAGTAAACATTGCTTTGCTGTTTTCTTATTCTCTCGGCACCAATGAAAAGCAGGGGTGGAAACATCTTTCAAACTCTGTGAAACAAGGAAATTAGTCTCTCCAAATCTTATTGACATTTCCATATGGATAGACATTATTCAGAGTACAAGCATGATTGAAAACTAAAAAAAAAACAAATTTTATGTGCTCCATATGAAAATGGGGAAAAATGGAAACTAGAAGCTTCATAAAACTTTCCAAAATTCATGGACATCATGACATATATCTTTAAGAAGCAACTTCTAAAGCTCTTGTCTTCCTCTTAATAATAGAAGGCAAGTTGATGCAAGTTGTCCATGTTGTCCAATTGCATTTGCATCCACCATTAATTGAGTAATGGATAGTAATACACACACACACACACACACACACACACATAAATATATACATATATATATTAGTGCTAACAAGTGGACTGTCTTACTGTAAACTAATGCAGCCACTGCAAGCACTCATGGTTACTTCAGTAAATGAATTAACAGATATATCTTTTTGTTGCTTCTTGTTATCTTCTTATAATCAATCAAGATGAACTAAGCCAGCACTCAACTGACCCAATCCTTATACATACAAAAACGATCAGACATGATAAATAAAAAATTGTTCTAAAGAAAAGATAGAGAAAAGGAGAAGATAAAAGATACTTGCATTGATTATCTCCTTTCGGGCACCCTCTAATTCATCATTGGTTTTGCGTTCCTTGACAATAAGAGCTTGATTAAGTTCCTCCAGGTCATCCAGTTCTTCTTCCTTGTCCTTTAGTTCTTCTTCAATTGCGTTCATCTTTGTCTTCATTTCCGTCTCTCCATCCCCTTCCATGTGCTGCATTACTTGCAAAGCCCCTTTCATGCGCTGTATCTCCAGCTCCAGTGCTTGTTTAGCATCAAGTTGCTTTTCTAGCTCAATGACTTCTCTATGGAGTTTCTCTGTTTCTCTCTGACATAGGAAGTAACTTAAAGATAAAAAAAGCGTCTAGAATATATACATAGTTAACCACTGCTCAATGATGATTGGAAATATACCTTCTGCTCTTCAGCCAGTCTTAACATATTTTCATCTGCCTTCTTTTGCTCCAAAGTTGCCCTCTCATTCTGCAAAAGGAAAAAAGGCAGGATTAAAACAATTTAAAAATATTCTGATCAGCGGACACAGAAAGCAATGGATAAAGCTAGCACTCTAAAGAAGTCCGGTATTTAAGTGAAAAGTACGGTCAACATAAAGGATACCGGAAATAAAGGAAAATGATAGGTTTGCTAAATAATTTTTTTTTGTTTACCCTACATGAACTATACATGTAAATCAGCTTACCTTGAACAAATCATAATCTAGCTAATACTGCCAATAGGAATTTGGTAAAAAAAAAAGTGAAAACACAAAGGCAGGATTGCATACCATCATCTTTTCATGCTTAAGTTTTCTTGTCTCAGCCCCATTTTGAGCCTTGCGATGAAACAACTCCTTCTCTCGCTGCTCTAATTTTCTTTTCTTATCATAAAGATGCTGTGTAGTCCTCTCATGCTCTAAAGAAATCTTCTTCAAATAGTCATGAGCATTCTGCTGCATGTTTTTAGTCTCTACACATTAAATACAACAAGCCATTAGCAACTAGAATAGCTAATTGAATTTAAATCCATTTTAAAAACTAAGATTGTAGGATACCTTCATTATAAGCTTTGATCATCTCATCCTTCTGCTCCATCAATGTACTAATGGATTGACTCACCTCATTACACTTGTTCTCCATTTCCTTAAGGTGCATATTCTTGGTCTCCAGGGTGTTGGCTAAGGTTGTCAACAACTTTGAGTCCTTCCTTTGATCTTCAGCTTCTTTTTCCGAAACAGTCTTCAGGTCTCCATTCCTGTGAAGATAGTCACCAATCAGTCCTCTTGAATGGTAATCATCTTCACGAGCAACCCATCCATACAATTTGTCTCTCCGCCTCCTAGACCGATAGAAATCCTTCTTTCCACAATGATCCGCTTCAAAGCTCCTCTCGAACATGATGGCATTATTAAAGCCATCCCACTCTTTGTTGAACTCCACTATGGCAAATCCCGAATGACCATGTCGATTCCATAGAGGATGAACCCTCACTGGATTAAATCCTTTTTCTGTCAACTCCTCCCTCAGTTTCCTTCCACTTTCCCCTACATGCTTTCCACCTTGCACTGTAGTTGGAATATTGGCAATGATGCCCATCCATGGATGAACAAACATCTGACATCAGGGAATAACAGAGACACGTCTTTAAGCTTGTAAACAACAGTGAAAGTAGTTATCATGCATGAAGGATTACGACAAAGCCAAATAACCTAGGAAAAACCTTACAATCAAAATTCAAACATCACACATGTTTAATGAAGTGTAGAAAGAAACAGAGAATAACAATCCGATAATTCCTTAAAAGCCTTTTAACAGATTTCAAAAGACTCAAGAAAACTCCCCTGTTTGGTTGGGAAGAAAAATTGAAGTGAAAAAGAATGAGAATAAAACAAAAACATGCATTTAATACATACACAGCACGAAAAAGCGTTGAAACGATTTTTGATTTTTCAAAAAGAAACAAAATCACAAAAGTTCGATCATTGCATTGATATTTTCCTTCCAAAGTTCCAATTTTGCTTCACTTTCTCATTAAAACCAAACAGAATTTACTTTTCTATATAATACATGCACCATCGCAACATCATCAGTTAAAAAAAAAGTGAAACCGAAAGCGCAGCAAAAAGATCAATGGCATTACCTGCGTCTGACGAGCTAGGGTTCTTCGAGAGAAAAATTAATGGATATTTCAAGGAAAGAAAAAAAAAAAAAACCGCTGCTTTAGCTAATACTTGAAGCAAGAAAGTGTAAAAAAGGCGCGTTGTTTTTCTACAATAAGTTTGTAGCTATCACGTCGTTCCATTTTCCTCTTTATTTTTTTAAAAATAAAGAATTGATAAAAAAAAGAAGACGTCTTTGCGAGTGTATAAAGAAATTATACTCACGATTTGGGGCTTAGACTTGGGTTGATGATGATGAATGATGACATGAAGGAGCGAGTGAACGTTGTGGATAATGCGGAGACGCGATTGATTAGGGGAAATGAAGCGGTAGGCTCCATAGGAGTACGTGGAAGATGGCGAATGGAGACTCTTTAAGCTGACAATTGGCATGACCAGAGGATTTTAGTTACTTTATTTGTTTTCCACAAATCTACTTCAAAATGAAAATTTAAATTAGTGCCAAGTATTTACTAAGGTGTGACACGCCTAAACCTCCCTTGTAAATAAATATGAATAAATAAACTTATTGGGTTAATTAAGGAGTTAGCATTTGAAATTACTTTTACATTTTGAATAATAATTAACATTATTATATACCATATGTGATGGTATAAATGGCATTAAAAATTAAATTGAGATGAGTTTTGAATTTACTAATTTACTTAAAATGATGGATCAAAATTCATAATTTAATATATGTATTCACTTTAATTTGGTTAAAAATTTGTCAAAGTTAATTTCATTTGAATCCATATATTACTTTTGGGCTATAAATGTAGGTCGATTGGGCACAAGAAAAGGCCTATTGACCTTTGGGCTTGACTAGTGAAATCCAACACACATACTTTAGGAAAATATGAGCCCAAGAGTTTTTAATGAAGAGTGTCAACGAATTTAGCCAATGAAATTTGTTCTAGGATGTGAGATTGCCTCTCCACCCAATTAATGTAGAAAGACAAGTACATTGTAATACTAACATATGAACAAATATTATGGTTGCAAAATTTGGCGTCCATGAAAGTAAGGATTGGATCCAATCATCCTCCCTCGAGTTATCCAAGAACCGAAAGCTTTTAGCCACTACATGGTTCAATGCACGAGACCAAAATTTAAGAAAAGGGAAAAGGCTGATCGGGGCGAGACGGCACTCGGCTCACCAGGGATGTTTAACCAAAATGGGAAATGCAGGATTACGACTCGCAATTAACATGCATGAAGAGGGATCGATGTGAAACCGAAACCTTGCATAGCCAAGAATGTGGTCCATCCTCTCGGGTCCTTGAAGATCAAATGGCCGTAATTGTTAACTGGTTAGGCTAGTCAGAAGATTCGTCGACCGCCTTCAAATAGCATATGCCCTTTTTTTCAGAACCACTGCTGTCCACCATTTATATTAGGAACACGCTTGCAAATATTACTCAATCGCCAATTCATGCAAAAATTGATCCAATTTATATTAATTTTAATATTTTATAAATTTAAGGGAATGAGTGTAAATATTGTAAAATTTTTTGTGTTCAATAACTATTAAGTACATTTATCTCTTAAATAGAAAATTTTAAATCAACGAAATTTTACCAATCCAAATTCATTTCAATTAAAATTTGAATCAAAATTCAAATCGATCTATGTTAAAATTTGAATAAAATGTTTAATTATAATTAATCAAATTGAATTATTATGATATATTTATCTATCAAGATTGATTCCTTCCCATGCCAAAGTAATGAACCTTAATTTGTTTACAGCTATTGCTCGGTTGTCCTATAAATGTGACACCACGTTTTCATAACTGGTAATGGCACGACCTTTTCACTACTGGTAACCTTTAGATACCCATCTCTTTCGAAGTTCTCTCTCCAACTGTGCTGGGAGCCCGGATTCAATGTCTGGAGTGTGGGTATTTGACAAGAACGGGGTGGCTCGCTTGATAACCAATCCAACCAAAGAATCCTTCGAGCAAAAAGACCCGAGATATCCTGGCACATCCACCGCACCAGGGGCTCGACCCCGGGTCCTGGTCTACCTTCCGACCAACCAAGTCATCCGCTCCTACGCCGAACTCGAGCAGTGTCTGGCTGAGCTTGGCTGGACTCGCTACAACAACATCAGCCAGCCCGACTTTCTCCAATTCCACAAATCTGAAGCCTCAGCTCATCTCATTTCTCTCCCGAGAAATTTCGCCAACCTCAGGCCCATGCATATGTACGACATTGTCGTCAAGAACCGCTCTTTCTTTGAAGTACGTGACCCTCAGTGACATTACGTTGCGCTTGATTCACGAAATCGGACACACCATACAGAAACATACCATGTTGGTTAATTTTCAACCGGTCTCTAGCCTTAACGAAGTGGGTTGTCTAGTGAAAGGGTGCACGTTAGAGATTCCTGGTTACATTTTAGTAGTAAAAAAAGAAATAGAGGATGTTGTTTCTTTGGAGACTGTTTTAGTTTGCTAAATCCTGTGCCATGTGCCTCAAGTATATATATCTCTAATTAATAGGTTTGATTCCAATGAGACGAGATATATCTATCTTTCTTTTCGGTTAGAACTTTGAATAAAAAGTTTTTCATGTTGAATGGTTTTAACGAATTGATGGTTCTAGTTTTGCGTTATTTACTTTGTTCGTTCGAACTTTCTTTTCATCTGATTCGTTTTGCTTTTTTATTTTCACCTGGCTTTTGTTTTTCCTTTTTTGGATCAAAGCTCAATTTTTTCTCTGTGTGCTTATATTGTTTTTGTTTGATATTGCATGCATGTGGATGTAATGAGTACTGCCGAGATCATGTCCATAGCTTTAATCACTGATTCAATCACAGTAACTCCATTCATCTGATCAATGGTCTAATCATACCACTGGTCGAAGACAATGATCAATCATATAACTAGTATAAATCTCAACAAACTTTTGTTCTAAAGTTACTTTTTCTGCAAATTGGATGACAATCACAGTTTATTCATTCATGTTATTTTTGTTGATCAAGCTTGGCCTAGAAATTAGAATGGTTCCTTACTAAGGAGTTTTTGGTCTCGATTCCCCTTGTGAAAAAGAAAATGTAAAAATGAGAGAAACTGAAATCAGATCTTCTTGTCTAGAATCAGGGAAAGAAAGAAAGGCTCCCAATCGATTATAGACCGCTAGAATACAGAAGAGTCTAAAAGCTGAGCTTCTTTCCGGCAGAGGAGCCTGTCATGTTGTGCAGACAGGGATCTTCTTCTACCAAAACAGGTCTCGTGCTTGTACTATGTACCACCACCCAGAGAACAGATAATCATTGCGGCTCTACACATGTAGAGCATGATAGGTTCCAGGGAGAGGGTGAGGTTGGTCATGATCTTTTCCTACACTACCTAACTTGGACACGTTCACGAGTCGGTTAAGAGAAAATCTTCATGTCCAGTAAGTGGTGAATTCAAAATTTTACCAACTGGAATTAAAGGGTAATTATAAGAATTATTATATTATATATATATTAAATTTTATAGATATAATGATAAAAAAAATTAAAAATTACGAAATGACGGTGGTCATCACCTTGCTTCACCTAGTGTGTTCAATTTCATAAAACACGTTATCATAATATGAGTATTGTGTTCTTGGAATATAAGTTCATGTTTTGTTTCACCTGCGTCTCATGGTGAATTCGATTCTTAAAGATTAAAATTAATAAATAATAAATATTTAAATATAATTTTTTTTAATTTCATAAAAAATTTTTGATAGATAACACATAGATCTTATCTGTATTAAATACTTACTTTTATTATGTGAAGGTAAGAATGAGGAGGGAATTCTAAGAGCCAGCTATGAAAAAATATTTATGTCTAATCATAATTGATTGCGAATTCAGAATATTACATGAAAAGTAATTAAATGTAATTATAAAAATAATCATATTATGTATATATATAATTTTATGCATATAATAATTTAAAAATTTTAAAATTGAGATTTTGGTTCTACCTGTGTGTCCAACTTCATAAAACATGTTGTCATGACATGAGTATTGTATTCTTGGAATACATGTTCTTGTCAAGTTTCATCCACAACTCATGGTGAATTTATTCCCAACTTTAAAAGAGGTGAGTTTGGAAATCAAAATAAAAAGATGATGAAAAATTAAATATTTAAATATTATTTTATTTATTTCATGAAAAAATTTTGATAGAGAGTGTAAATTTCTTGTCCTTGCTAAATCTGCCTCCATTCCTATGAAGACGAGAATGGGGATTGGGAGGGAACTCCTCATTGAGGTGAGGGTGGTGGTGGGTGCAAGTTCAGTAACATAGTCAAGATGTTACACTTGAGGTAAAAATAATATATATAAAATAATCATATTAAAAATTCAATACTTATAAAAGTAAAAATATATTACAAAAATTTAAAACTTAGAGTGCGTTGCCCTATTAGACCCCTTCTCACCACCACAGGACAAGGTTGAGGAATACTCACCCGAAACCAGTCCCATTGACATCACTCTAAAGGAATTGCAAATTGTTAAAAGGCCAAAAGAATAGTTCATTTTCTACTCATAATTAAAAGAAATTTAATTGTTAGGAGAAAAAAAAACACTAATTATACATAATTGTAACTTATTAAAAAAAATGTATTTAAGAATACTATATATAATTTTAAAAGTCTTAATTACAAAAAAAATCTTTGAACTTAATTAAATTTATAATATCAGCACTCATTTTTTTATCCTATTTAATTAGTTTTTGTATAATTATTTAACTCTAATTAAATCCTTACTTAAATATGGATGAAAAACGATAATTTAGATTAATTAAATCCTGTCATGAGTGTTTTTTTTTGGTCACATGATGTTAAACACATAAAAAAATTACTTTGATAGTATTTTGATATGATAATTTAAAAATAATTTTTTTATCATTATTTTGTTATCACGTGATACATTTTTATCTTAGCAAAAGAAGTTAACAACGTCAATAAAATTCAATTCAACTGATGGTAATAAAAAAATGGAGATTATGATGATAACTTTAATTAAATTTAGAGTTTTTGTTTTGTTTTTGCACTTGAACCGTTTTGAAAAGATGGGTTTCATCCATTAATATTTCGTTGGATAATTTCCATAGACCGTAGTGGATCCAAAGCAATAGTTTAGGCATTTCTAAGAGCTATGATACCTGGCAAAAGCGAAATGGGAAAACATTGAAACCCTTATGACCAGTTCAACAAATAATCATCTTCGGCAACGTTCATTTCCAGAGAAAATGTAAACTATTGCTTTGGCTAGGGTGTCATACGATCAGAATTGGGTCAGAGACCTGAAAAGGGCGTCAAGCTAAAATCCTCCCGTATGGATTTGCAGGACGTCAACAGGTAAACGTTGCTGCTGCTGCTGCTGGTACGGTCAGGAGGGAGGAAAGAGGAGAAAAACAATGAACGGTTCACAGCAACATTTGATTTGACATAACAAAAGGCCCATGGAGTTTTCGGAGCTCTTGCTTGCTGCTTTAACGTCGTACAGATAATATTAACATTTACAAATTAGAGGAAATCTTCTTTGTTTCTTTCTCGATTGATTCGTCTCTCTCTGTCAACCTTGACCTACGATGCTAAGCCGATAGGGTTGCAGCCAACAGCCCCCAATCTTCTCCCTGTTCTTATGCTTTTATATTTCTGTTTGTTACTCTTTGTCCTTTACTCACCGCCCTTCATCTATTATTACATGGAAGTCTCACGTGACTGGCACGTGATTTTTAGATGATGGAGCATGTAAATTTTGTCACCGATTAGTTTGAACAAGAACAACTACAGGGACGGTGTTCCTGACTGGATTCAATTAAACAGGATTTTGATCAGGGAATTTGATGAACAAGGTTGGGTCTAGTTTATATTTTTCCATATTCATCTCAATTGATTGGATAATGACCCTTGATATAAAATGTTTGTGGAACTAAACTCAGAACTGGGCTCAGGAGCCCATTTCAACAATTCCCCTTCTCAAGGGCCATGCATGATCTATGAACTGTTGAACATGCTAGTTTCCATTCTATTCTATCAAGTGATTGAATAGAATTTGGAACCAAGAGATTTCTATAGCCCATATCAAGCAACAAAAGTCTCAACTATATCATTCAAGTTAGCCATTTTCTATTATTATTTTTTATTTTTATCAATTCTAGAAGGGAGGAAAGTTCTTTGAAGGATATGTCAGCAATTGTTCTCCAACAATTGATTGAGCTCCCACTTTGGGTGAAATGAATTATTAGCTGCCGCCTCTTGTAATTAGTAATATTGATGTGTCTACCTGCCTGGTAATTACTGAATGCACAAGTTACTATTATACTCTTTAATTATTGTCATACTCTTTTTCTCATACAAGTTAAAATTATTTGTGTCAAGGGATTATTCTACGTGTCAAGTTTCACCATCGATTAGTAAAGTGCAAAATACATAAAGTTTCTAATGGATTTGACAAAATTAAGGATTATGGGTCTTTCATGATGTTTGTGTTATTGTCAAGAGCACCAACACATTTTTCATGGTAATTCTAAATAAAAAGGACGGTGGGGATTGCTTGTTTACGAGGGAAGACCCAATAATTATATTTTGCTTTAAAATAGGCTTCCCATCTTTCCACACCGGACAACTCGATGATTCTTGCTTGAGGAGTTGTTTTCCATTTTTCTAGTCACTTTTCAAATTTTATGTCGTGTTTCGTGAAATGGTAGATAACACAGAAATAAGTGTGAATCACAAGCTGCCGTTTGAAAAACAAAAGAATTATTGATATTTTTTCAACAAATAATATTTATATTTTATTCATTATTATAAAATATAATCTCATAAATATTTATTTAAATTTTTTTTAAAATTTTAAAAATTAATTTATTAACAAAATAATAATATGTGATTCATTAATAGTGTATATAATTTATAAATTAACATACATAAAAAAATTTCAAAATCAAACATTCCAATTCTTTAAATAAATACTTAAATATTTATAGATTAAGCTATTTGGTAAGAAAGATAAAAAAAATTTTAACTCTGTTATAAAATTTAATTAATCATAATACTTAAAAAAAACTTTTAACCTATTTAAGTTTTTATATTTTATTTTGAATCAAATAAATTTTTATAATTAACGATGAATTAATTACCACTAATCAAAATATTATTTGTAATTTTTTATGTCTCATAACGTTAATATAGAGTATAAAAATATCATGTGGTTATGTCATTATATCATATGAATAAGCCATGTCATTATGCATATCATATGAATACCATAGAAAATAAAAAAATAAGTGATATTTTAGTTATCATAAATAATAAAGCATTAATTATAAAAAATTAATTAAGTTAAAATAAAAATATAATAAAATGTAAATAATTATTTAAATATTGTAAAAATATTATACCATTTATTAAGTAAATTAAGTCACTGCTTCCATCTATCAAACAAAATAATGTACACACGTTTAATGCACCAAATGCATTAAATCATCGGCAGTCCTTTTGATTTTTATATGGGAGTCCATAATTGGATGTTACGGACCTATGTCAGCTGCTATCACGTGAGGATAGACGAAAAAGTCAGATTTTGGTGAAATAAATGGATTCAGTTTTTTTTTATTTTTTTCTTTTCACAAACTGAAAGAAAGTACAAAAGGTAAATTGGGGAATTTTTCTTGTAATCTAAATGATTCTTGAAGTAGAATTAGTCTCCATATCTCTAAAAGAGAGAAGGAAAATAGATAAATGCATTAATTTATATAATAAATTGACAAATTTCAAACATAGTTTCTTATATGTCAAGTGGGCATCGTAATCAAATATGGGCAGCCACGGTGGTCCAATGCAATTTGCCAAAATAGTCATAAAATTGTAACTAATGGGCAAGGACCAACCATCCATTAGGCAATGACTGCAACAACACATGCATTTCTCGAAGACGATTACGCATGTTTATGTTCAGCGACGTTCGTTGCCGGATTTGACCTCTTAAAATTTACGTCTTTTTTCCGGAACCAGTAGAAAATTATCAAACAAGTAATCAACTTTTCTCTTTCTACCTAATACGAATATTATATACCTAATAATGGTGATTGTAAATTTTGCTTCAAATATCAATTAATTTTTGCTTAATCTATATGGTTTAAGTAATTCATGTTCCCGTATCTTAATCATATGGTATATATAAAGAATATTAAAGTTATATGAAAAAATACGAACATGACATCATTAATTAATCTTAAACATGCACTTGAAAACATTTTAATAAACATATATTACAACATGACATGATTAATGTATTTATTAAATATATTTAAGTTAAATTTTATACAACACAACACAATATGTTAACATGATTAAAATGTATACGATATAATTTGTTTATATTATTAACACAATTAATATAATTAAAATATAATTTTATTATTCAAATTTATAATAAACATGATAAATATCATAATATTTATTAAATATAATAAAATCTAATATTAATAAATCTTAATAATCATAAAAATATTAATATTCAGATAGATCAATAAAATGGTCTTATATGTATACTAAACATATATATATATTTGACATGTAATATACAACTAAATAAATTAATAAATGGATCACGAATTATACAACCACACAATAACATGATTAAATAATTATGTATTAAAATGAGTTAAGTGAATTAAATAAGATTAAGACACGAAATATGATTACTTTAAATCCAAATCCACTTAACTTCGTGTTATGTTCGTATCGTATTATTGTGTTGTATATAAAATTAATAAGACTAGTTATTAGTTAATAAATCATGAAAATTGATAAGTGTTATATATTAAATATAAGTTTGTTTCTATATGTTTCACGTATTTAAACAAATATAAACAAATCACACCATCATTTAAGTCCATTTTTTTTCTTGTATCAACATTTAAAATAATTCCAATTTTTGGCAATAACAAAAAATAGAAATAGAATATAAAAATCTAATCCATTTCCTATGCAAATTGTCCCTACAAAGTCCAACTTCGAAAAAAATACTATAAAATTCCAATGGAACCTCTTCAACAAACCAAGCTTCAATGGGACCTTTCCGTCCCGTCCTGTCCGATTCTTACAGTACTTAGCATCTCCCCTCCTCTGCCATCTCCCTCGTGATCTCTCCCCTTTTTTTAATTGAATCTCTGGCAAAACGACAACTTCCTTAACAACAAACTAAACCTAAACCAATGTTTAAAAACATTAATATTATGTAGAAGAGAATTAAAGAAACGAAGGAAGAAATGTTTTTTATATTAGCCAATCCGAGTTCGTTGATCTCCTCATCACCTCCCGCCCCTCCCATTTGACCCAAAAACAATCAACCTTGTTCTTTGCTTTTTTCGGAACTCTGCATTTCGTGTAGTTATGAAGTGTTTTCATTTTACCAACGGGGAGAGGCGAGGCGGGGGAGAGGACGGCGGCGGAGTTTCCAGGGCGTCGTCGAAGGTGACGTGGACGAGGTCGTTAAGCGTGGCGTCAAGCTGCGTCGACACGCGCCGTTCCGAGTTCGACTCCGAGTCGACTAGGGACTTCACCTCGGACTACTCGGCCGGGAGTTTTTGCGAGTTCCTGACTCAGCGTCGAGCTAACGATCTGCGGGTGTTCTCATTCGCGGAGCTGAAATCAGCTACCCGCGGGTTCAGTAGAGCTCTTTTGATTGGCGAAGGAGGGTTCGGGTGCGTTTACAGAGGCGTCGTTAAGGTTCCTGATGCAGCTAACGACGGTCGTGATTTGAAGTTGGATGTCGCCATCAAACAGCTCAATCGTCACGGTTTCCAGGCATAGTCCCTTTTCCCCATTTTGCCCCTCCTTGTTTTTGTATTTTACTTTTTTTTACCTATCTGTTTGAATTTTTTTATGGATTAGCTTAATCTCGTTTTAAACTATCCTGTAGTAGTGCAAATTAAGGAATGTCCAATCATTAAAATTTTGTCACGTTAGAAACTTCTGTTATTAATCTATGCATATTGACATATCTTGATTTAAATTCTTTTTCCTTTTAATGTTGAATGGATTAGACATGGCTCTAGTTTTGATTATCAGCTTATGGGATTTGGATGATTTTGCTTTCTAGTATTCAGGGGCATAAGGAATGGATCAATGAAGTGAACTTTTTGGGTGTAGTTAAGCACCCGAATCTTGTAAGGTTGGTCGGATATTGCGCTGAGGATGATGAGAGAGGGATTCAAAGACTTCTGGTCTACGAGCTTATGCGAAACAAAAGCTTGGAGGATCATCTGTTGGCTCGAATGCCATTGTCCTTGCCATTGCCTTGGGTGACAAGATTGAAAATTGCTCAAGACGCTGCCCGTGGATTGGCTTACCTGCACGAAGAAATGGATTTTCAGGTATACTGTTTTAAAGTCTAAAAGAAAATCATTTTTCATGCACATGTTATTTATATTAGTTCTGGTGATACCTGTTTTTACCCAAAATTTTGCTTTACTATTCCCATCGATTGCTTCAGTCTCTATTTGTTTTTTACTGTAAACTGTGTGAACTGTGTGCTTGTCTTCGTGATTTTCATGTGCTTTGTGATTCGTGCAGCTAATATTTCGAGATTTTAAAGCATCAAATATTCTACTAGATGAGGACTTTAATGCGAAGCTCTCAGACTTTGGGCTGGCAAGGCAAGGACCTGCTGAAGGACTAGGCCATGTTTCAACAACAGTAAGTTAATCACCTTTGTTTAAGCTAACATAAATCATAATGCTCTTTTGAGTGTCATGATATAGATTTAATGGCTTATACCTTGGAATGTTGATATGTCTTTAAGTTGGATGCATGGATTCTAACCGTTGCTAACAGATTAGTATTTTTTTTTCCATTAACTGTTTTAAAAATGTTTACAAGGTTGTGGGCACAATAGGTTATGCTGCCCCTGAGTACGTACAAACTGGCAGGCTAACTGCTAAGAGTGATGTTTGGAGCTTTGGGGTGGTTCTATACGAGCTCATCACTGGAAGGCGAGCACTAGAGAGAAATCTCCCTCGAAGTGAGCAGAAGCTCCTTGAATGGGTGAGACCTTATGTGTCTGATTCAAAGAAATTCCACCTTATTGTAGATCCTCGTCTTGAAGGACATTATTGCATCAAATCAGCTCAGAAACTAGCATCCCTAGCAAACAAATGTTTAATGAAAAACCCAAAATCCCGCCCTAAAATGAGCGAGGTGGTTGAGATGCTAGGCAACATTATAAGTGAGACTTCATCTCGGGATGAAGGTGTCTCTCAATCAGTGAGTGAAAATGAAGATGTCAAGGAAGAAAGTGAAGTAGAGACTGAGGCCGAGTCTACCAAGCAAGGGCACAATTACCTAAAGAAGGTTTTTGATATCAGAGAAGTAATTAGCTTAAGAAACAGATCAGTTGGAAAGTTAGACTGGAGAAATTGGACACCCGGGCTGGTGAGGACTTGGTGATGAGCTTTCAGCTCGTGACACCCTCTCACACTGCTCGATGAATGCATTTACTTAATCAAATACATAGCATGAATATATTCATACAATTTATTTCTTGAAAATTTGGAGGATATTTCCTTTTCTCTCCATTTCATTTTTGTTCAAAAGTAGTTGTAAATATAGTTTGCAAGGAAAGCTGCATCTGTGGTTCATGCAAGCAATTCTTTTCATAAGTTCATTATGTTCTTTCTCTAACCCGTGATATGTATGTTTTTTTCCTGCGGCCTATTGATGTCCATTTATTGTAATTGGTTACCAACTCCATTGTAGTTTCCTCTTTAAGGACTCTTGAGGTTGTTGATTTACTTGGATGGGAATGCCCTGCCTTCTGCATCATTGGGTACCTGGATTCACCCTTAGATAAAAGGAAGTGGAGGGGAAAAGTGGGTTGTTTCTTTGTGGGGAGAAGTATTCAAACTTTTGCCTTTTGACATCAGAGAGAATTTTGAAATGGTCCACCAAGATACTCTTGTAAATCTTGTTAAAGTTACTTTAGTCTATACAAGCAACAGATCATGCTTCGTCAGGTGGAAATCTTCATGGGACCGCTAGATGTCTTAGAAGCTGAACTTGTACATGAATTTTCACCTACATTTGCTTGAATTTGATAGGTCTATAAAGTCCAACAAAGTACCTAAAAGGACCAAGTCCAACTTACAAGCCGATTGGAATGGCAGTCCTATCTGTTGCGTCACACATTCCAACCACTCCACTCTTGACTGGGTATCAGAACCTGCGGCTAGCAGGGCTTAGTTGGCGAGAAGAGGGTTACCCCTTTGGGTATCAGATAGAACAGATAGATCACGAAACAATTGATTAATTCAGGACTTATGATTTGAATATTACAGATAGACAAACATCCGGAGACTGAAAGCAGATTCTTTCCTAATTGTATCTGCTCCATACTACACTATCTTGTGTTGGCCTTCTCTGCTTTGATGCTGCGTCCAGTAGGTGGGATACTTGGGAGTAAGCCATCAACTTAGCGGGGCTGACAAATATGATGGACTTTATATTGAAAGGAAATGAATCCCAAAAAAGTCTGAACTTTAAGCCTAAAGCTCAAAAGCCTCATGGACTGGTAAGAATAATACAAAATCACTTTTCTCTCCTTTATTTCTTCCTTTTTGTCTAAAAAATTCATCACCCATCTTTTCATGGACTGCTTTTGAGGCTTGGAGTAACATATCTCAACTCCTTTATCACCAAAGGAATCAGAGACCAACAGGATCTAGTAACTACCTACTCAAATTCTATCTCTTTTATCATTCACAAAAGCCACAATGAACACAGCAATTAACCAGTGCTTGTAAAGGGAGATTTGACAGATGCATCAGGAAAAAAAATAAAATAATATGATTATAAACTTCACCATACCTGGCTGGAAGCAAAGACCTACTTGTGGTCATACAAAACCAGTTACACCCTTTTTTCCAATTTGTCTCTCAAGTGTTAACAAACACTATAGTGATCTCAAACGAAATACAGCATTGCATACATTCCCCTTGTTATGGTTTGAACTTGCAATTGTGTCAAGAGTAGATTGATTTTTAGACATCAGCTAAAACAAGAACTGTACAGTCACAGAGCATAAAAAGTATATGCCTGAGTTCTGGATATTGTCACCAACTACCTGAATATACTTCGGAGGACAGCTACTTTTGTTGTGTGCCTTGATTTCATTCTCAGGCATAAAGAGGGGAAGCAGATGGCCTAGGGTACGCCACGGTACTCTTTCCACCAATAGCATCACTTGCACTTCGCCTACGTAGCCGGGGTGTCCTGCTGGTATCGATCTGATTACTTCCAGATTCATTGGAATTTTGGAGCTGCTCCAATGCTGTTACAACCTCATTCATGCTTGGTCTGAACTTGGCATCAATGGAGAGGCATCGCAAAGCAAGGGTAGCAGCCTTATGGGCTCCTTCCATTAAATACTGGCCTTCAAGGCGGTTATCTAGGACACGGAATAGTTTACGTTTGTTGGCCAGGTAAGGTTTGGCCCATTCCACCAGATTATGTTCTCCAGATGGTCGATTCTTATCAACTGCTCTGCGGCCAGATAACATCTCTAGCAGCACAACTCCAAAACTATAGACATCACTCCTGGCAGTCAGATGACCTACAGTTGGAGAAAAAGTGGAATGGTCACAAGATTGGAAATTTACACCCACCAGGCACCCAGATATATAAGAAATGAGAAATGAAAAAAGAACAGAAGCTCCACAAAATGTCCTGATTCCAATGGTATACCAAATTGACAAAAAGTCAGTCAGGCAAACCAAATTGCACACTTCACGATTATGTTAATAAGTACCTGTGGCTAGATACTCTGGAGCCGCATATCCATAGGTCCCCATAACCCTGGTAGAAACATGGCTCTTATCACCTGTAGGCCCATCTTTGGCCAACCCAAAATCAGAAAGCTTTGCATTGTAGTTCTGCAATTACATCAAAGCAAGATGGTTCTCAGAGGAGTCGATGAAAAACAGTTTTTCAGAAATTATCAATGAAACCATATTAGGAAAGTGCCAAAAATATCAGCTTAATAAATAAGTCGCATACTGAATCAAGCAAGACGTTGGAAGTCTTGAAGTCACGATATATCACTTTTGTTTCAGCACTGTGAAGAAAGGCAAGCCCCTTTGCAGCGCCAAGAGCAACCTTCAAGCGAAGGCTCCAGGAAAGAGGCTGGAAATACGAACCTCCTGGTGCAGACAATTTAAATGTCATAGTTAGAAAAAAAAAAAGGTATTTAAACACAATTTCGTTCAATGGCACCAAGAGATAGGCAGAAAGAACTTACTCCTGAACAAATGATTCTCCAAGCTGCCACGAGGCATGAATTCATACACCAACAGACGATGTTCATCCTCCAAGCAATATCCAATCAATTTCACAAGATGGGGATGATAAAGCTGTCCCAGATAATTCACCTCTGCCTATAAGATGGGAAAAAGAACAAGGGTGAATCTGTGCACTGTGGTCCTGAAACATCATTTTAAAAGTTTTAACCATAAGAAATGCTAATATGACGAAAATACATCAATAAGCTTCCCAGATAGACATATTATGCAAGCAAGTCAAATCCTAGAATAGTCTGAGCAAATTTGAAAATATTTGCTATCTGCATGACTCCATCTTAAGCATAAAGTTCCTCTGCCAAATAAATGTGATGAACAAATGCAAAACCAATTGGATGTTCCGCATGTAAGAAGAATGATCGGATGCTCCAAATGTTCGAAGAATACTGAGTTAACATGGACTCACCAACCACTCCTTGTGACCTTGGAACCCATCTTGGTTAAGCCTTTTCACTGCAATAACTATGCCAGTTCCAGGCTTGGCAGCAGTAAGAGAATTTTCATCAATCCACCCCTTAAACACTGAGCCAAAACCACCTTCCCCTAGCACACTATCTGGACGAAAATTCCTGGTGGCCATTTTGAGATCAGCAAAACTGAAACTTTTCAAATTGGGAGACAGCAAGATCTCACCCTCACTCCGAGGTGTCAGAGGCACGGAAACTGATGAGACTTTGCTGCTTGTACTGCTCATATCTTTCCCATCACCACTAACATACTTAGAACTCAGCCCTGTATGCATGAAGATGAAATGCATCCATTAATTAATTTTCATGCTCCATTTTACAAATAGAGTCCCCAGCATGCTGCCAAACTCAACTTTCTAATATTTCAATTCAAACAAGACCAAAATTGTGTAGCCAGGAAAGATTTTCACTATTTTCCTCTGTTCACAAATAACAAATTTCAGTTAGCCCATTCAAAACTAGAGAATATAGCTCCAAAGCGCATTAAGTATATCATAACATCAATCCATAATGGCGAGACTCACAGGATCCCAAAGCACGCCGGACAAAGACATAATATCTGTTTGGTTGTGAAGAAGACTAACAGAGAAGCAAGCATGAGATGGAATGACGTGAAAGTTTAGAAGATTCATTGTTCAGTTTCAAAGGTGATAAAATAAATCAAAGCCAACATGCCCAATGATTAGGAAAGACAATATGAGCTTATTAATTTGTTTATTGTGGAAATAGTGCCAAACAGAGGGGGAATAAGTTCAGCTTTCATTCTCATTCTATGCAACTAATTCACCAGAAAGAATTCCAAAAGAAAGTATGGAAACATTGATACGTTGATCTCACTCAAAATTATAGGATATTTGTCAAACCACTAATGAAGATACTGTTCTCAACAAACTATAATGAATATAAGAAGATTGTCCAACAAAATTAACTAATTCCACCCAAAATTTCTAAATTGCAGCTTCAAAGTCCAAACCAGCAACCACCCCACAGACAATCCTAGAAAGGAACCCCAAATGAAGAAACAACCATAAAGGAAAGGAAATCACCAAGCATTTAATTAAAGCAATCTTAACTACCAAAGCAAACTAAAAACAAAATCAGCCAAAGATGAGTATGAGGCTCATAAAAGGAAATAAAAAAGCTGTTTTAGTAAAATTCAACTACCTGTGTTACTGGGGCTCTCAGCTTTAATTCTGGCACTCAAGCATATCCCCATCAATTCAAATCCTGGAAATCAGACCAACGTCTTCAACGCTTCTGTAGATCACCAAACACAATGAAGCTTTTGTTTATAAGAAACCTGAACTGAACAATGAAAAGAAGCAGATCTACGTTTTAAAAATCAAGCCTTTTTCTTTTATCAAAAAACAAAGGCACAAAGCTTCCTAAAACGATCACTTTTTATTACAACCTCAAATTGTCCTAATTCAAACCCAAAAAAAAAAAAAAAGGAAAAAAAGAATGCAATTTAAAGAAATGAAAGAAGATAAAAGAAAACTAGAAAAGGATACCCAACAAGCTAAAACAACTCAAAAAGGAAAAAAACAATAAAAAGCCCACCTTTTTCTCTGTAAACCAACCTAACAAAGAATCAAAGTGAACCAAGCAAAAGCAAGTGAAGGATTCGAGAGAGAAGAGAGAGAGTTGACCAATTTGTAGCTAAAGCTTTTTGTTTTTTTGGTTAGCAATAGTGGCAACTAGTCAGTGAATAGTGACGGTTCATGGTTGGAAGGCTGAGCGAGTTTTAGAGCAAGGTGGGAAGAATTGCATTAATGGCTGGCTGGCCCGCCATTCAAGCCCAGCGTTTTATACTTGTCTCGCTCAGTACTCGTACATGTCAAGTCAGAGAAGATAAGCCTTGCACAGCATTGCCATCTTTTGTCAGCCGTTGGATTCTTTTATGATGTTGGCTTAGCTTCTCTCCAGCAGCTTTCACAGCTGGCTTCTTCTATCCTTGTTGTACCTTTCATTGTAGGATAGTGTCGAGTACATAAATAAACAACTGAAAATATGATTTCTTTTTTTCTGAAGAAAAAGGAAAAGTCATTTTTTAATGGATAAAAGATTAACAATAGTACTTGGAGGACCAAAATGGACCAAATGCCCTGCATTTCAAGTTAAATCATTCGGCTTTAAATCTTTAGGCCGCCCTTCAGCCCCTGATCCCGACGGATGGAGCAAGTTATTTTTTCCATGCCCCACACCCACCATGGAGGAAGGTGCTCTTTTGTATTCCATGGCAAAAGGATGATTCCTGGAAGCTCCAGAGCCAAGCCATATTCTGATCAGTCCTCTCCCATCATTTCTTTTCTTTATTTAACTATTGCAATGATGATTCTTGAGGCAGTGATTTAACAGCTTCACTTTCCTGGAAAGTTACCAGAGCTTTTGGACACTTTGAAATGTGACAAAACTGAAAGATTTTGTTCTTGCCCCATTGTTTCAATGTTTCATAAGTTGGAAAACAGCCAACGATGTTAAGACAAACTTACGATCATTGGTTTTGTGAATCTTGCAGATAATGGTACTAGAATAAACAAGTCAGCGATGAAATACTTTTGAAAGGACGTTTCTGGTTGGATTCCAAACCTTATACTAATTATGGGACTTTGTGGTATCATTGTTGTTCTTTCCTTGAAACCCAAATCATTTCAAAATCGTCCTCTCTTTCTTTGGATTGGTTTTAATTAGATGAGTACACGTTCTTTACCTCTAATGGAGAGTAATTGGATTCTATACTCTTAAACAAATTTACTAGGAAAAATTTATCCCAAAAAAAAAGGGGAAAAGTTTTGATAGATCAAAAGTTAGTATTATTCTCGTGTCAAAATCCATTCGTATATTTTATACATAGGAAAAGTTCTATTTCAATTTTTTCTGGACCTTCTGTATTTATTTTCAAAAGAGCTAAATTGTTAATTTTATTTATTAAAATTATCAAAATACTCCCAATGCATGTCTAACATTGAATTTCTAGTTCATTTAGTTGAACAAGTCATTTTCTTTGAAAATTTCATACTATGAGCGGTTTTTTCTATTTTTCTTTTCCTTATTTTGATTTTTTTGGTTCAAAGAAATAATATGAGGCTGATATTAATTTTTCATGTGTTTCTCTTTTACATGATTTGTAAATCTCGAAACCAAACACACCCGTGACACGTACCTAACCAACACTTCTGCTTTCTTTCAGTCTTTCCCGATTTGCTCATCTGACGTATAATATTCTGCATTGCTTGCGTTTACACCCGACTCGAAGCAAATCGCAACCGTCTGATTGAAAGACCTTTTCGTCACTAAAATCATTTGAGCCCCTTTTTGATGCGAACCCAGCAAACCTTAGCTGTGATTAATCGGACTATTTTTGACCTGTCGACCCTACGTGCGACCCTTTCAAGCCATGCTCGGCATGTGATGGCCCCCCAAGGTTATCTAGGCTCGGCTTGGAAGGGGCCTTAGCTGCCTAGCCGCTAGCCGAGTTGGTTGCTGGAATTAATTAAAGCTAATATTTTTTGGGACTTTATTTATTTAAATTTTTTTGAATTGACTTCAAGATAAGATCTAGGTGGAATTTGATTAATTTGAGTTCATTACATCTTAATCTTACTAACTTAAGTAACTCGAAATTCAAAAAAAAAACCTAAAGAGTTAAAATTTTAATGCTTATTCTAAAATAAGTAATATTGAATTGAAATATTTAATGTGTAATATAATTTTTATGAGAATCTTAACCAATTACACAAAAAATCAATTTAAAATTTTATTTTTCAAAAACAAAAACCTATTTTTAAGGGTATGTTTTAGATTATAAATTTATATTTAATATGCTATTAGTGTATAAGATTTATACATATTCATTCATTACAGAATGTTACTTTATAAATATGTAATAGTACAAATTTAAAATAAATTGAAATTATAAATATTTATTTTTAAAAATTAATAAATTTTAAATTTATTAATTAACAAAATGACATTATTTGATTAAATGATGATATATAAATACTCATTCATAACGATATACATATGCAAATTTTATATGTATTTAGTTCCGAGTTTAACTAATTCAATTCTTATTACTTTATTAATTTATATGTATTTAATTAAATAATTATTTATATATTTAATTAAATAATAATATATAAATACTCAATCATAACGATGTATGTATACAAAATTTAAAAGTATTTAGTTCCAAGTTTAACTAATTCTCTTCTTATTACTTCATCAAAATTGTTATTATTCCCTAAGTTATAGGAGAACAAGATGTTAAGAAATGACTCATCTTGTACATTCTTGCATGGAAATGACAAAATACTTGATGGGACTAAGTGTAAATTAAGTTTTGTTGTTGCATAAAATAATTTGGGAAGTGAAGCCAACAGTCAAATGGTTGACAATTTTGTCGGCTATCTAACGGGACTGACGCCATTAAATTCTCGTGTTCCGTACGTCTAGACGACGCATTGGTGACGATGCAACAGTTGTCTTTTTTGTCTTATATTTTTCGGACAAGGTTTAATAATCATATCCGTTGAAAAAAGGGGAAAACGCGGAATGCCTTTTGGGCATCGGCTAAGGCGCTAAAGAAAATAAAAAAGGTTAATCAACTAATTACTAATCTTAACATTACTTGCCTCATTATCTTACTTTTAAGCAAGTTTTGTGCACTTTTCCACGGATAATGCTTTTCAAATCAAAGGTTTAATGGGCATGGGACATTAAATGTAAATTCCATTTATGTGCTTTATGTTCACTCTAGTTTTAGATGATGTCATGTAAATTGCAATTTGTTAAAGAAATAACGCTTTAATTAACGAGCTGATTATGGTTATAAATTTATGTTTTTAACTTCAAAAATATACTTATTAAGTGAAAAAAAAAATTTATAAGTTTAAAATTTATTTTATTTTTAATATAAAATTTATGATATTTTATCTCGTTCAATTATGCAACACTTCATTATATTGATTATTTCAATTTTAAAAGACTTTAGTCTAGACTTTTCTAAATCTTAATATTTTTCAAAAATTCCTGTCATTGAAAAATTGAGATAATTTATAACACCACTTATTATGAATTCATATTTTTAATTTTCAAAACATGTTTATTAACTAAAAAAAATAAAAAATCATGCTGTTTTGAATTTTTGATTTTGAGTAAGAAAAAGGAATATTTATAGATAAAGAAAAATAACCTGCGGAGAGGGATGCGGGGGCTGGCTCTACCTATATCAAAATCAGAAGAATTTATACATGTATAGCACTTGACAATGGGCACTACTTGTAGGCTTGCATGAGGAGAATCTTTTATTGACTGCACGGAGTGGAAGTACTTTGTCTGTTTTAGCTTTAAGTTTGTCAAAACAGTACAGCCTTTAAGGCAACCAAACGAGGCACCAAATACATTATTAGAAGGGTGATATCAAGTATTTCTTTGATTTCAATTGTTTGCTAAAGTTTCACCATTTCTATGGTTTATGAAGTCAAAAGTATGGCCCCCATAAAAAAGCATGAGATGACTAATGAGAGCACCACAAGGAAGTTTCAAGATAAAGTCAGACAAAGAATAGAAAAGAGGCAATGGTACTATAAACAGAGAAAGCAATCCACTTTATACTTGAAAGCCACGAGAATGGGTCAAGGCTGACACATAGGTCTCCTAGATGGTTCGTCCAGTCAACCAAATGTGCTAGTAGAAGACTTCAAATCCAGGTACGATGAGATAGCCCAAGTATGAAGTGGAATCTGCTGGCAAAAGCCATGGCTAGGATTTTACCTTGAATCCCCGTTCGGTTTTACAGAGGGAGGCACACACTCTGTTGGTTTCAATTTTGGAAGTATTTTGAGCTTTTTAACTCAGTTATAATAATAGCCCACTTCCATGATGGGTTTTTAAGCCCACTTCCATGATGGGTTTTTAAGCCCATTCCATAATTGGGCAAATGCAAGATCAGAATACTACCAATAAGTCACATTACTAGTTTATTCTTATTTCTAAACTTGGTTTGATGATAAAAACATGAACCGGTAAACCAAATCCCAAGACAACCAGGTCGAGCCCAAATGAAAAATTTGGAAGTCCAAAATGAGGATCTATGCCTCAAACCCACAATAACAAAGTTAAATTTGGCTTACACTCGGAAAATTCTGACATCAGGTTCCTAGGAGAGACCACAATTGCAAAATTAAGTTACCCAGAAGGCTGTTTCTGTTTAAGCTTTTGATTCCTGGCTGTGAACTTCAGTTCTTTTTCACGGTGGCAGCCTTGATGATATCAATGAACTCAGGCTGATGGAGGAAAAGTTAAAAAAGTGGAAGTTAGGCATAGTGGTAGAAGCCAAGCTGAAGACAAATAATCAAATAAATGAATCAACAGTGGCATAAAAAAGGCAGAAAATCACTAACCTTTAAAGAAGCTCCACCAACCAAAAAGCCATCCACATCTGGTTGTGCAGCCAATTCCTTGCAGTTTGCTCCATTTACAGAACCTAAATTTTATTTGCAATGGATACACAATCAGATTCAAAAGGGTTTAGGGGCTTGGTTTAGCAAAACCTTAACCCAAGAATCAAAACTAAAAGTTTATGGAGAGGTCAAGCAAAGTTGTAGATTAACTCTTTAGAATGGCATTCTAAAATAGAGGAATGCAATATGAATAGTTGAATACCATGTAGTTCAGTTAGGTTGGATGCATCTAGACATTTGGAGCAGCCACTAACAGCCACAGGTTTACCACATGTACATGCTAAGAAAGATTATGCTAAATTTTCTTAAAAGCATTAGGATAAGATCTGTAGTAAGGCTGATCGGGAAAGATACCTCCGTATATGATTCTAGTTGAAGCAGCAACTCCAGCACCAACATTGTCATGAAGCCATTTCCTCAATTCACAATGAACCTGGAACATTCGATCACACATTTGTTTTAAGCAAAACAAAATAGGATATGATTCTCTAGGCACAAGTTAAAAAGCTGTGGCTTAGACACAACGACACTAGCTTAGATGCATGATTTTGAAATATCCATAAAACCCAAACTTACTTCCTGAGCCTGAGCAGGGGTTGCAACCTTCCCTGTACCAATGGCCCAAACAGGTTCATAAGCCAAAACAACATTCTCCCAATTTGTTACTTTATCTGCAAAAGAGCAATAACAGTTGAAAAAGATATATCAAAAGAAGAAAATGCAAAACTCTAACCCAACATGGTCATGGTCCAAATAAATTTCTCTAGAGACCACAAGTAAACAATCATAAATTTTAACCAGTGTAACTATCAATTACCAGCAATTGCTTTGGTTTGTGCAGCAACAACAGTCATGGTAGAGCCTGATTCTCGCTGTTCAAGAGTCTCTCCAATGCACGCAATCACTTTCAAGCCTTGAGAAAGTGCATATGCTACTTTGTCTCCAACAAACTGCAGATACAAGTATTCGAAACACACAAAAGGACATTAAGTGATACTACTACTAATAAGAACTATTTGAGTCATTCAGAAAAAAAACAAAAACAAGCCCTAAAATTAGTTAAGTAGATAATGAGATAACAGGAACCTAATTGTACTATTTACCTCATTGGACTCGTTCAAGAGAGCCCTTCTTTCGGAGTGACCAATGACAACCCATGGAATATTCAGATTAACAAGCATCTCAGCACTGTTTAAAAAGGAAAACAGAAAGTTAACCCTCAATACGCAGACAATATCAGATTCTAGAAAGCCCGATTCTAACATAAAAGATCTACACCAAAATGTGAAAAAAAATGCAGATGATAATAGATAAAAGGCCTACCTAACTTCTCCAGTAAAAGCACCACCTTTGCGAACCCAACAGTTCTGAGCAGCAACATGGAAATCGGAACGCAACAGACTTTTCACAAGGGTAAGAAACACAAATGGAGGGCTCACAACAACCTCTGCCACAACATAAATTTGAACTTGGTAAATCTTCAAAGTGAACTAAACGAAGTAAAAATTATGGAAATTTTTTTAACCTGCAAAAGAAACTTACCCACAACATCCTCAGAAGGAACTTCAGCTTCATTCAACTTGGTAACAATCTTCTTAACCTCTTCAGTTGTCCCATTCTGCAAAAAAAAAAAAAATCAAACCTCAAAATCATTATTTTTAAAGTAAATAATTAGTTATTTATTAACATGCATGATCAAAATAAATTTACTAAAATCATGTATTATATCAGCTAGAATTAAAACCATCAGATCTCAAAACTTAGAGCAATTTAAATAACCGATCAGCTAAATTGGTGTACAAAAATAAACTGAGATCAAACAACGTTTTCAAGATCGAATCAATCTCTAGAAAATCACTGCATGTAGACCAGAGCATGAGATCATGAACATAGATCAATGGATTTTGACCAGAAAAAAAAAGAGAACTTTAATTTTAGAAAGAAAAGAAGAAAATCAAAGAGAGATGAAGAGAGGAAGCAAACATACGCATTTCCAGTTGCCGCCGACGAAGAACTTGCGAGCCATGAAATCTTGTGTTTGAGTTTCCCTTTTTGGGTGATGAAAACGAGATGAAGCAGAGAAACGAGAAAAGCGAAGCTAATAAGAGCTCACTGAGATGAGACTGGACTGACTAACGGTGCGCTGTCGCCCACTTTTTTTATAGTGCGAATACGTGGGCGGAGCGCAAGTTATTCTGTAATTACTATAATGCCCTTTCACTTCTAAACATTTTCTGAACAATGATTTTACAGCTCGGCATTGTTGGTTATTTCGTCCCCCTTCTTTATTTTCGTCGCCATTGACGTCCCCGTTGGTTTTTTCCCATTTTAATCAGCATAAAAGAAATTGAATTTAATCAAAGAGTATTACCCTCTCTAATGAAATTGAATAGTGAAATTGAAAGTTCAATTTACATAGCCCTGCATCTGCTATATGCAAAGTAACGGACTAGATGATCAAACGTCAATCTAGAGGATCTTTTTGACAAAAATGAAGGGGACATGAAACAGTTAATATGCAGAGTGATCAAGCTTACACAGAAATGAAGTAACTACTCCACACTGCTTGGATATCTCAGATCTCCTCCTTCAAAAATGGTAGCTTTTGGATAGCATTTAGGAGATAGGACAAACCTCATTTCACTTGTGGTCTCCTCTATTTCCTTCATAGTACAAGTCTCTGATATCCTCCTTCACACAATGAAAGCTTTGGGCTATTAGTTAAAGCCCCCAGACATCCATGTTTTATTGAATGTCTCCACACTTTCGATTTCCTTCCAAATAGCATCACGTTCAGAAGATGGTGCTTGGAATCTTCAACTATGTAACGTGTTTGGCTTTAGAGATTAGATTATATATAGAGACTGTGGGTTTCAAACCTGACTCAATCATCTCTTTCAATAAAGCCTCAGCCTCTTGCCACTTCCCATCCTTGCAAAGAAGTCCAATAGTAGAGCTGTAGCTAGCAACATTAGGAACCAGCCCCTTCTCACACATTTCTTGAAGCAGCCTCAGGGCTCTATAGGAGCTACCGTCTTTGCAATACCCGTGAATCATTGTGTTGTATATGACATCATTGGGCTTCAACTGCATTTCGTCCATTGATTTAAATAGTTTCCCTGCTTCCTTCATACTGCCCTTTGTGCACAACCCATGAATCAAGACACCAAAGGTATAAACATCTGGAACCAGACCAGCCTTCTGCATAAACAAATATAACTCAAATGCTCTCTCTGTGTTTTCTGATCTAATGAATGCATCAATTACGATTGTATATGTTACTTTAGAAGGGCTTATGCCTCTCTCCTCCATTTCCTTTACCAAACCAGCAACTGCTGCTGAGTCTCTTGCTCTAGAAAAACCAGAAATGAGAATGTTATAAGTCACCAAAGATGGAGATTGGCCCTTCGTCTTCAATTGATTAAATAAATACATAGCCTTCTCGAACTTTCCAACGTTGCAAAAACCATCTATTAGCGAGTTATATGTAATCAAATTTGGACTTATACCAGCCCTCGTCATTCGATCCACCAACTTCTCAGCATCCCAAACTTTTGTCTCTCTACACAATCCTCCAATCAAAATATTGTATGTAACAACATTACATGCTACTCCTCTTTCACGCATTTCACCAAACATCTCGAAAGCTTTATTTACTTTTCCCTCACTGCAATACTCATTCATCACACAATTGTAAGTATATAAATTAGGAATCACCCCATTGAGCTGCATCTTCTCATATAGCAAAAAGCCATCTTTTTTAAGTCCTTTTTTAAAGAATCCATTGATTAAAACTGTGTATGTATATTCATTGGGAACCAACCCAAGCTCCTCCATTCTGCAAAACAACATTTTTGCCTTGTCAAAGTCACCATTTTTACAACACCCATCAATCAAAGTAGTGTATATAACAACATTTGGAGACAAACCCAATTCTTCTACCTGACCTATAAGCTCAAAACTTTTGCTTAAATCACCTGCCTCGCAACATCCTTTGATCATTATCCCAAAACTATAAACGTCCAACTTAACCCTCCCCTTGGACTTGGTAAAAAGCATCCAAGCTTTATCAAAAGAATCAAATTTTATAAGAAAACTCATTATATTATTCAATGTATTGGGTCCAACCACAAGGTTTCTGTCTACCATTTGATTGAAATAATATATGGCTTGATCAGGTAACTGAGATTGAACATGGGCATTGATTATTGATTCATAGAGAAGGGTTTGATTCATTGAGTTGGGATACAAGTCGGGTTGAGTTAAATGTTGGAACAGAGACAAGGAAGTGAAGAAAGGAGACAAGATTCTACCAGAGATAATCTGGAGGATAATGGACTGAGAATGTAGGAGCATGTTGGAAGAAAGGAGAATGTCTAGAGAAAACGCTATGGATTCAGGGGTGTGTTGAAGACCTTGGACAATTGAAGAGTTAAAGAGCGAGAGAGCTTTGAGAGGTGGGTTCTTCACCATTTTCAGAATGAGAATTAGAGTTTGAGGGGGTTGGAGCATGGTTCAGTTGTTGGTTTGTTTGCCTCCTAATTTTGACTTCCGCTAGGCTTTTATACCTGCTGCCCTTTACCAGGAAATAGGATTTAGGGCCGTATTAGCCTACGTTTCTTGATTAGGACTTTGAGCTTATTCATCCAAAGGCCGAAGATTCAGTTATAATCCAAAGGCCCGTAACTCCAGAGGCCCACGAACTTTTTTCAGCTTTGGCCCTGCCTTGCCTTCGTTAACAGATCCTTCTCGCTGACGCCAATTTGTCGGGTGAAAATCAAATATCATCAAACTTTCGAAAACTTCACCTAACTTGGATCGCCGCAGCTTTTGATTTCACAGTCATGAAATCAATTTCCAGAGTCAGATTTCGAAGAGAGCTATTGGAGATGCACATTTTGCTTGTAATGAGAAATGCACTACTTAAACAAGACGCATTAATCCATGAGATACCAAATGAATAAAATGCTCAGCATTCCATTTTCTAAATTGAAACAAAACCATCTGTTCTGAGTTTCAAAAGAACAAAGCTATTTCCAAAGGAACGCCTAGCTACAGGTTACATATGAACAAAGGGAAGGGAACAAAATATACATCATTGTATAACAATCCAATAACCTATAACTAGGAAGGTCCTAACTCTTGTTGAGCCTTACTGCTGTGTGAAACTAATCCAATCAAAGATAATAGACCTGAGTGATTAGAGCTAAATGGAGATGAAAAAAAAAAAAACCTATTTCCGGTCAGTATGAAATCCTGCGTGTAATGATGTCTTGATCAGATGTAGAATGTGTTCAAAACATTGGTTTGCTGCAATTGCTGGTTGTTAGGAATGTAAATGCAGCAGCCCAATCTTGTCTAGTAGATTCAGGCACTTGCTCATCCCCAATGAAGGGAGTCCACAAGTCCACAGATGTATTTGTCAACAACCAATCAACTTTCTCGGGCACATTAGTGAAATCAAAGTTCAAAGGCTTTGTTTTTTTCTCAGACTTCCTCTGTTTGTTATCTGCAGAGATACCCATAGACTGCAAAACACAATTCAAGCATTGACCAAAAGACAAGGAGTAAGAAGTAAAGAATTGAATAAATATTCAGCATCTTCAACCAACAAGGCTCTTGTTTCTGACTTACAACCTCTTCAGTGCCAGAAGTCTCCATTCCTTTCTTCCTTTTATTTGGGGTGATTCCAGTTTCGATAAAGTAAAGCACTTCTTTCTTCGATCGGAATTTACGCCCTGTGGATGGATCAACATAATACTGCACAAGAAATGCTATCAGCCACGTTTACATTACCACTGCATTGCCACTTCTCCCCTTAAATGCAGACAACAGATAGGTCTGAATTAAATTCTAATACATCCTACATGAACAAGAAATGTATTACAGATGCAACAAAATAAACTGATCACAATTCAAATGCACCATAAATGAAATGAATATTTATCATTTCTATATCATTTTATAACTCTCTAAAGCAATTTTGAAAAATACTTAGTCCCCCAACAATGCAACATTCTCCCAGGTCAAATCCATTAACCAACTTCTAACGTTACGTTCATTCATCAGATTTCATAATTCATCTTGTTTTGGTGATGGGACAAAGACAAAAGCTCTTGTATGGGTGTTCATGCAACACCAACTTTTAGCCTCTCAATCTGCAGGGCTAACACTTATGTCATTAAATTGAATTCCAATAAATTTGTTTTTAAAAGAACATGCTTACACACCCCATCGCCACCTTAAGAGTTCAAAAGATGTATAACTATAAGATTGCAAATCTGATACAAAGCATATTGATATAGGCTGCGAATAGATTACAACTAATCTAACTTTTAGTTTGCCTAGGCTTGAGAACAAAATCAAAGGAACAAGAAGTTCGAGTTTGTTTTCATCAAAGTCGTTGAACACAAGAATTTACTCTGCATATCAATTCGATGGCTAGGATGAGTGATACAATGCTGTCTAATGACAAACAACACTAGCAACTCTTCAAGCAATAAAATAAGGATTTAATCTTCCAAATGAAGGAGAAAAATATCAAATGATCTTCGAAGATCAAAGAGAAAATTTAATAAAATCTCTAAAATGCTTATATTAAACTTAACAGAAAAAAAAAGTAAAAAACAAAAAAGATTATGTTAGAGCTGAGATTAACCTTATCAACCGTTCCAGCTGTGGCACCGGAGGTCCGAACCCTATCTTCGACCAACCATCCAGCAGGCAACCAAGTCTCAGGCGGCACCACGCGACGCTTCCCCTTGGCTGCCGCCGAGGACGACGAGCGTACCTCCGGTTGGGCGCCATATGGACTCGAACCATTGGGAGGGTTTGTCGGCTTAGATGATCGGTTTTGGCCTTTGGCGTCGATGAAGACTCCGGATTTGAGAAGCGGATCGGGCGTTAAATCGGCTGTAGAGGATTTAACCGGGTTTGACATTGAGAATTGGAAAGAGCTGGAAACACTCTTTGAAGTTTTGGAGAGAACGGGAAAATGGTAAAGTTAAGCGCAAAATAAACGTTACGGATGCTGAGATAACGCCGTGAGTCTATTACCGTTAATCACCGCAAAACATGATGACGTGTTGAGATAACGCCGTGAGCCTATTACGGAACGGCTAAACATAGTGATGTTTGCGACGGGATAGGGACATAAATGGATTATTGTTATACGTGTATATATGGATACTCAGTTCGATAACATAGAGTTTTATTATCGATTTTGAATACCAAGTTATTGATAGAATTGACCAAATTGAATTCGTTAAACATGATGACATGTGTACTAGGGATAGAAATGTAAATGGATTGTTAGTGTACATGTATTTATAGATATTTAACCTAATAACGTAAAGTTTAGATATTTTATATTCAATTATCAAATACAATCGAATAATACTTTTAATATCGTTAAATCAAGTTTGACATTAAGAATTGGAAAGAACTAAAAATATTATTTGAAGTCTTGAAGAGAATTGGAGAATTATATAGTAAAGTACAAAATGAAACGCCACGTAATGCATATTAATATAATATTACTAGTGACGTGTTTGTGATTATCCAATTTGATAAGATAAAGTTTGAGTAATTTATATTTAGTTATGAGGTGAATTTGGATAATACTTTTAATACTTGATTCCGATTTGAGTAAGCTTATGATAATATCTTAAACCTAAACTTGGTTATATATATATATAATATTTCAAATATTCATAATTTGTACCTTCAGCACAACTTTTTTTATTTTAACCAACTTTTTTTAAATTAATTATATAAAAATTTTATATAATTTTTAGTAATTAAATTTTTTGAGTTATTTGATATTTAATGAATTTGGATAATTAATAGATAATGTTATATTATTAGGATTCGATTTTAGATAATGTTTTATAATTTTATTTGAGTTTTAGGATTGAATACTTTCTCACTTAAACCAATTCGAATGGGGTATCTTAAAGAAATACTCATTTATACCCCTAACAATGAATCACTGATAAGAAAAATTATTGTTACTGTTAATAACACCTCATCAATAACGATTTCCATGTGAATCCTTAAAAAATATATATATTAGTGTATAAACAAATTTATAATTTTTCAATTATTTTAATCATTACTATTTTTATGTATATAATAAAATATATTGTGATTAAATTTTTTTTAAAAATATTTTTCAGTTTAAATTCCCAAATTCTAAACCTTCAAAATAACATATTATCAATTAAGTTAATTTTGGACAAATATTTTTAAAAAAATTTAAATTATTTTTAAAAAAATTTCCTAGATTAACTAATTTTACTTTTATCTATTTCTTTATTAGATACCAAATGTTACAATTTTTTTTTCCTTAAAATCACTTTCTTCTCAATCACGCTTAATAAAATGTTGTAAAACTAATAAAGAATGTATAATAATAAAAATTAGTTTCTTTTCATATTCAACTGAAAGGATAACATGCCAAATTATGAAAAAAAATTTGAAATATTCAATTAAATACATAGATACATTGTTATTAGTATGGTAAAAAACGATAACTTACAATATTAATAAAAAATGAAATAAATCAACATATTGTATCGTATTATGCATATTATGCATATTAGTCTGTTATAAAAACAAGTTAATTTTAGATAAAATATTTTTAATTTTTTTTAATTATTTGAGAAATTTTAACAATGTTTTTATCATGTTTAATTAATATTATATATATTTTTATTTTAAATTAAATAATCAAATTTGACTAACTGACCTTAATCAAATTAACTCTTGTTATTTCATGATCATATAATAGATGATACTGATACGAAACCTAAAAATAACATAAGATCATATTATTATATTATCGTTTTTCATGATATGTTAACATGTTACATCAGTGACGTATAGTATAAAATGATAAATAATATTTAACTAATAAAATTTATTTTACTTTAAAATAAAAAAATTTAATAAATATAATAAAAAATAAATATTTATTCATATTTTTTAATTATTTTGTCATAATTTATGATAACACGTGCATGTTGATAGGACCGCGTATTTGCTCTTCTTAGTTCTAGTGCTAGGTGCTAAGTTGAGGGCACTTTAACAATAAAGATGTTTACAACCTTATATAGGCTTGATTAAAGGTATAATTATATAAGACATGAATTGTACTTAAATTCAATAAATAATACTCAATATCTACTTAAATACATGAACCATATATCAATTAGAGAGTAATACAGAAGTAATTGAAAAGTCAATTCGATTAAAATTCAAATTTCAAGTAACTATAAAATTTATTGCATTCTATTGCTCTAAAGAAGCTCAAGTAACTAAAGATTAATTCCACTTTAAACAATCGATGAGTTTTAATACATTCTTAGATAGAACATATATATATGAAAACCTTGCAAATAAAAAATTACAACTGTATGTAATATGTCTATTATCTACTTTAAAAGTTTTAATATATAATTAACTCTAAGCAACCAAAAATTCCAAGTCAATTGAACAATCACAACTCAAATCAAGTGGTAAGGATGAAATTTGTCAGTTGAAAATATATCTGTCAATTAAATTTTGAAGTCTATAATGGAAACTAAAAGATTAATAGGTATCTTATTAAAATATATTTATATAAAAATAATTATTAAAAACATATTTGATAACTATGTAATTTCACTTTAGAATATTTTTCACCATCAATGTCTAAAATAATGTAATCCTAATTTTGATACCCCAAATCCCCACCCTACCTAAACTTGTTTATAAAGCAATAAACCATATTTAATCCACTGTGGAAAGTTTGGTAACCTGAAGAAATAATATAAAACGATCATCAATCAACAAGGACACGTGCCACTGTTTCAGTGGTCTGATAGTCTCTTATAAGTCAAATTACGTACATTTCATGTTGATCACATTGAACGCGTTCAGGGCACTGTCATAAAAAATGCAAAAATCGAAAGAAATCCACTCATCCGATCAAGAATATAGTCTGGCGCCCACCGACCTATTTTCGCTTATATCATAAATCACGCAACACAAAATCCCACCCTGTCTCTTTATCCTTAACACTGCACGGTCCACACCTCACAAAGTGTACGACAAAAGCAAAGCTTTCTGTTTCACTTAACTAGCTCACTGGCTCTTTGTAAGAGCAAAGAAAATGGCAACCCTCTCTGCAACTAAGCTCTTCTTCTTATTCACTTTCCACCTTACCATTTTCTCCTCCACTACCACCGCTGCCTACACCATCGGCGTCAACTACGGAACTGTCGCAGACAACCTCCCGCCTCCGCCGCAAGTAGCAAACTTCCTCAAAACCAAAACAAACATCGACCGCGTCAAGATATTCGACGCGAATCCCGACATCCTCAAAGCCTTTGCCAACACTGGTATTTCTGTTACTGTAACGGTCGGAAACGGGGACATCCCTTCCCTCGCTAAACTCCCCGGGGCCCAATCCTGGATCGCCAATAACATCTTGCCACATCACCCGCAAACGATCATCAGATACATCGCCGTTGGGAACGAAATCCTCGCCACGTCTGATAAATCCCTCATCGCTCACCTTTTACCCGCCATGAAAGCTCTCAGATCGGCTCTCGACATGGCTAATGCTTCAAGCATCAAAGTCTCGACTCCGCATTCACTGGGGATCTTGTCCACGTCAGAGCCGCCGAGTACGGGGAAGTTCCGCAAAGGATACGACAAGCTCATTTTCGCGCCGATTTTGGAGTTCCACAATCAAACAAAATCGCCTTTCATGGTAAATCCATACCCTTACTTCGGCTTCAAGCCTCAAACGTTAAACTACGCTTTGTTTAAACCCAATGCTGGCGTTTTTGACGCGGCTACCGGGATAAACTACACCAACATGTTTGATGCGCAACTGGACGCGGTTTATTCAGCAATGAAACGGGTCGGGTATGGGGATGTGGAAATCGTGGTGGCTGAAACCGGGTGGCCTTCGGTGGGTGATCCGGGTCAACCCGGTGTGAGTTTGGAGAATGCTTTGTCGTTTAATGGAAACCTCATGAAGCATGTGAACTCTGGTAAAGGGACTCCTTTGATGCCGAACAAGACTTTCGAGACTTACATTTTCTCTTTGTTCAACGAGAACCTGAAGGAGTCTGTTTCGGAGCGGAATTTCGGGTTGCTCAAACCCGATCTCAACCCGGTTTACAATGTGGGCGATCTCCGTAATGAACAGGTAATTATTCTATCATTAAAGGCTAGTTCTGTAAGTTAGGACTTTTCTTTCATTTTTGCTTGATGGGACCAAACTCCTAAACGTCCTGATCACGGTTATCAAATGGGCGGGTTCTTAATTATCCAGTACAACTCTGCTAAGTGTTCGATTTTTGTGAGTTTGATGTTTGGTTCAAACTCCTTACGTACCACGTGGCCAGTAAACTGGTTTGATCTCCAATAAAATACAGTAAAGTGTTGGAATTTTATGTTTCTGGTTTCTGACCGATGCCAGCTCTCTGTAATTGCGTAGCCGACTTTGATTGTCGACAAGCCGTACGTGGCTTTAGCTGTCCTGTGACCGAACTACCCTCCCCCTAATATCATATTTCATCCTTTTTTATACTTTTATTGTTTACTTTCAAGGGTATTTCGGTTACAAAATGCCGGTGATTGAAAAGAAAATCTCCCGCTCTCTCGTTCTCCTTGCGTAACACGGACTAAGCTACAATTATTTTTTGAATGCCGTAAAGTTCTGAACAACCAATCAGGACCATCTAATATCTTTCGGTGATGCAGGGCCTGGGTCCAGCATCGGCCCCACCGACGGCCAGAGCACCATCAGCTGGTTCAGGGAAATGGTGCGTGCCTAAATCAGACGCCAGCATTGCGGCGCTCCAGGCGAACATCGATTACGTGTGTAGTACCGGATTGGATTGTAGGCCAATCCAAGCAGGTGGGGCCTGCTTTAACCCCAACAATGTGCGGTCACATGCATCCTACGCAATGAATGCTTACTATCAAGCCAATGGTCGTCATGACTTCAACTGCGATTTCGATCATACAGGTGTCATCACCTCCACCGATCCAAGTAAGATCCCGTTCTACCTCCAGGGATAGGAAATGTCATTTAGCAAAACACTAACTTGGAAACTAGGAAAACTGTTCTGGCAACTAACCTTTATGGATGGTACTGGCAGGTCATGAGGCATGTAATTATTCAATTGGTCAAGGGGCAGGGTTAAAGTTGGAAAAGTCGGTGGCTGCAGATGCGACGAGCTTTTGCAGCGTTTGGCAGATGATTTATTTAGCTTCTGGTCTGATTTTTGTGCACCTCTCGTTGGTACTGATTTAGAGTTGATTAAATGGCTAACTTTTTATGTGACGGGCCTAGGTAGCTTTTATTCGAAAATCAATATATTTTTTTGGCCAAGGTTGTACTTCTACCTTTTGAGTGAACCAAGGGGCTTGGGGCTGTCTGCCTTTTGTTCCACTGGTTCTTTAGTGGCTTCAATCCCGGACCAAATCTTAAAATAGTGTTAAACTTTGGTCGGTGTAAAGAGGTTGATGTATGGCGTATTTTATTAATTATAATGGAGTTTACACTTCAGACTCCCATTATGTTGTAGCTAAAGTGGTTCGTCTCATCTTTTGTTTATGCCACTTTCTAGACGATTCTATTTGAAAGAATTTCAATTTGGAATGAAGTAGTTATCAATCGGCTTGTATATTGACATACGCCTTTCATAAAATATATATATATATATATATATCTTGATAGACATTTATGTTCACGCAATGCATCATTTGAAATTCAATTTTCATGGCAAAGTCAAAAATGAAAGGTGGAAGTTCAAAAATTAAGAAAATTATGGCATTACTAGGGATAAATATGAAGTGTAATACTTAAAAAAAAATTTTGAATTATTTAAGAAGATTTAAATAATTTTTATAATTTAAATTTAAATTAAATAAAAATTTATGATTAATAATTAATTAATTATCGTTTGTCAAAATACTACTTATCATCTTATATTTATTTACGTAATATTGATTTAGTATGTTAATTTATTATAATTGATAATATGACATACTGATGTAATCACGTGCTAATCTGACAGGTCATTAAGCCCATCTCAACATTATATCAGCATAAAAACAATTGATATCATTTTATTTGATTGAAAATATAATTAAATTTAATAAAAAATAAAAATTTATTTAAAATTTTTAAATGATTTAAAGATTTTTTAAAAATATTATGCCTAAATAATAATAATACTCAATTGTCACTAAAAGGCAGCCGGAGGTGATTAATGTAAATTAATGTAAATAGGTAATCATTTAAAGGTGCTAATTTCAGGGTTTCTACACAAAATTTGACGGCTGACTAATGTAATAGGCAGAATTTTGAGCCCCTCTCGTCACAAAACTTACAGTTTAATCGAAGCCAAGAAAATAATTATTGGCTTGCAAATTAGAGAAAAAAATTTTGCATGCATCCTTACTAGTAAGGATATGTGGTTGGGTTGGGTTCAGCTGAATTAATTGGGTCGATGTTTGATATTTTTATTGTGCATGGCTTAAGCCGACTCGCAAAGGTTCTAAACTAGGGCATGACGATGCAACACGAAACAATGGTTGAATTGAAAGTAGCAATCTACGTGAAGATCTTCTATTAGAGTTTTTGTATATTGCGAATTACAATCCGCTTTACCTCAATTTGAATTAAATTGAAAAACGAAATCCATATTACAAATTGATTGTTGCTACCTAACGTAAAGAATCTTGAAAAAAACTCAAGCGGTGCCTGTATTTTGAGGAGTTGATCCTGAGCCATGAACAGAACCACGACAAAGGGGGCAATGCGAATGGTCTAGCAGCCACCGATCTATGCACCGTTGATGGTACATATGTTTACATTTGGATAAAACCATACAACGATCCCTGTCAATGAACTCTTCCAAGCATATCGCACACTCGTCAGCCGTGCAGTTAGCTTCGGTTTCTTGATTAATATTCTCGTACGTAACAAGAGTCCCGGCCAGGACTCGCTTTGGAGTCTGCTGCTGCTGCTGCCGCGGTTGTTGGCCTTGCATGGCCGCTTGAGAGAGATATCTTGGCCGCCCCATCTCAATATCTTGGGGTAGATGTAGCCCGAAGATTTGTACGCAGCAAATCCTTAAGAAATAAACTATAAAGAGCATTATTGGAAGCGCGCCGATCATATATAGAATTGGAACAATATTTAGGAAAGCCGCTTCCCCATTATCTCCAGGGTTTGAAGAAGTAGGTGGCATTGACATGGTTTTGCTGAGGAAAATCTAGCAGAGTGCTGCTGAAAGAGAAGAGTTCATTCAAGTGTGCTAAGAAAACTTACAGAAAGTTCCCCTTCAGTCGTTTGAGCTGTGCTAGTTGTTCTCGGTTTTTATATGAATCAATCACCGCCCGTGGCCGAAAACCAAATCCATCATGACTTAGGATTTACATTATTTTTTTAAAAATAATCTAAACACAGGTTTATTTACACTGGGCTATCTAGGTGGTTCAACACCTGGCCCAATCAGTTTATAATTCGTAGGGGATGATTTGTCTTGGGCTGATGACCCGCTTGATATTCAAAAGAGGAAAATTTTCATAATGAAATAAAACACATATAGTATTATTTATTTATAACTTCATTAAAATAAAAAGGATGATGAAGAACATTCTTTTAACTTGGAATCATTCCATTTTGATTGTGTGGAAAGGCGTATTTATAGAAAAAATTGTCTAGAAACATATAAATCAAATGATTATATTTGTTAAATTCCAATATTTCTCTTGTTGTGTATAGATTGTACATTAATCGTAGACATAATGAACTTTTGGCATAAGTTTTCAGCGAGTCCCTAAGCAATGCCTCCTGAATAAAAATCTTCAGCCCAAAATATGCCCCCTCTCTCTGCTGCACCAATAAAATTTTGCCAGCGTAATTAAAGAAAAATGAACGTTTTACGTTTAACAGTAAACTCCCCTTTCTTAACAAAAATCCTAAGAACAAGTTTCGCTTTGTGAAAAATGAAAACAGATCAGCAGCACACGGTAACCCAAAAAACTTGTACACTGCTATACAAAATATAACCTGCACAAATCTCTAAAACAACCAACTAACGAACAAACACAACCAGAGACTGAGCTTCTCCCATCAAACCAGAAAAGCCAGCATCAGTCATCACAGCGAAACAGAAGGATAAAACCATCCAAAAAAGAACCTCAACACCTAATAACTGCTGCAGCAATGCCGACTTCCGCAATATTAAGGCAAGTCAAAATAGCAGAGATCAACATAGCAATCACAAGTGCGCTAACTTCCACCAAGATTTGAAGCAACCAAACTCTAAAAACATATCATCAACCAAACCAAGAGAGGACAGAAAAGTCTGATATTGAGTTGGGAGAATTTTTCCAACAGAATTTTAACGTCAACGTTAATTATGCAACGGGGCAGAGAGAGGGGCACAAACTTGGGGCAGAAGATGTCCATTCATGCCTACAACCTGAGTGGGTGGTTCCACGCAGGCCATGGGAAGAACCCTACAATGATTTGTAGGTAACAATGGTCCCCGCCAAGGTTGGCATTGAAGCCGGCTGCCTCTCCGGTGGCTTCCCGGTTCCAATATCTTCGGGAGGACGACGACGTGGACGATCCCTGAAAGCAGAATGGTAGCCTAGCAGCCACCAAAGTGCAAGTATAGTAATTGAGGGCAAAAGTTGACGGCGATGACATGATTAAAGAGAGATTTCGAGAGACGAATTCTGATTCAAGTCAGGTCAATGCTAAGGGCTGTTATAGGGATTTAGTCCTAAGCCAAGTTGATGAATTAGGCTTACAAATATTAAGATAAACACACAGTACTGACACATACATATTACATATATAAAGGTTTATATGTGATTATAAAAAAATTCTAAATTCCTGAGTAATCATAAACATGTTCTTGGAACTTTCTTATACAATCTACACTAAATAGGAATCCAAACCTTTTCAAAATCTTTCGCCCAGCCACAGCTTGCCTCGCTAATAAAATTAACTTCAAACTAGGCTTAATTTCACATAACAAGAGATTAATCTCCTGCCATGTATTTTATCATTACTTATCCTTTCATTAATTAACTGCCGTTGGCTGATGACTTGACCCTGAGCCTCGTAGAGAACCATGGCAGAGGGGGCAATGTCCATCCCTTGCCAGCCATAGGTCAATACAAATTTTATGGTACATATGTCTACAATTGTGAAGAACCCTGCACTGATCCCCCTGTTCGAACTTTTCCAGGCAGATAGCACAATCGTCACAAGTTTCCCCCATTTCATGATTCTCGTACGTGAGGACGGTCCCCAAAATTTGCTGCCGTGGCATTGGCACCGGCTGAGGCAAGGGACGCTGTCTTGGGATGGCCTGCTGTGGATTTCTTGGCTGCCTTCCTGGGATATTTTGTGGTCGTTTCGGAAAACAGAGGTCAATGACGGCAGCTCAGCAGAAAATGAAACAACTGCAAAGTAGCCTAGCGGACTCAGGTCAATACTTGCCATGATTGAAAAACCTTAATATGGATTCGATATGATGAAAATGGTATAATAGCAGTGACGGCGCAACCAAGAAAGGTAAGAGAATGTCTAGAAAATTCTCATTGAATAATTTTCTCTCCCACCTTAGGGTATGAAATCATTTGTTTATATATGTATAGCATTTACAGAAGAAGACAAAAAAGGGAAAAAAAACATATTTAATCTTAAAGCTAATTTGAAAAACGG